ATCCATCACCATGAGTACAAATGCCGCATGTAGTCATTCTCATGTGAAAATGCCCAGTTTGCCTCCAAAATGGGCTCTGACTAACTGGTTACTTTAATTAGGCACTGAGTTGTCTGAGCCATTCGTTGTGCAAATAATTTTTTTCTCATAATCAAGCCCATTATGTGAAAAAGTCAACCTTAAGGAGTGTTCATATAAAAATCAATGCAACCTTTCACTAAAACATAAATCAGATCAACTCTGACATATATGAAAATATTTGGGGAATGCTTAATGACATTTTTGTGTTCTTGTAAATTATTTGCTTTCGGCTGATTTTAGAAGCAGGGATAGGGAAAGCTCAGCTCGCACCAGGAAATATCAGCAATCGAAACCACTAGCTTTCTCATGATAGTTTCACAGATCTTCGGCTCATATACCTTCCAATAAACCCACATACATTTCAAACAAAAAAACCCAACCCAACCTTTTGGATGCTTATCTGATCTGAGGGAGACTTGCTAACCTCTCTGAGGTTCACCAAAAGCTGATTTCTAACTATTTTTTCAAAATAATGATGCTTAGTCCCACTTAGACATTTTCCCCCTTCAGAATATAATGCAAACATCAGTTAAAGCAGTTCTTGCTGTGTAGAAAATTTATTATCCCATTCACTACCAAACTCTAATTTTTGCTCCTGCATGCATGTCCTTTGAGTTTCTTCTTCATGCTAAAATCTCCATTTTGGAGTTCACTCCTCCAACTAATTCTGCTAAAGCTGGTTCTTTGGATTAAAATGAGAGTGACATGAGGCAAGGAACAGAAAAGTTCCCGAATGTACTTATTTTGAGGGAAAAGTAGAGTGTTGTGGCTGGCTGACAGTCAAAGGGCTGGCTGGTGGGACAAACCACACAGCAAGTAAATGAAGAGGTGACCTGTGGAAAGCAGAATGACATTAGCTTTCTAGGACTGGTACGGAGTATGGAAAAAATAACAATGGTTGGACTAATAAAACGTGTGAGCTTTCAGGACTCACTGCAAGGTGTAAGATTTTATATCTATACTAGTTTATTAGACTATTTAGCTAGGACTTGTAGAAATGGGAAGAAATATGTTCAGCTCGAAACCTTTGCTTCTCAGTGCTGGTTGACTGAGGCCGCAAACATACTGCTCTTCAAGGGGAGAGAGCTGAGAGTTCAGTGGGCAGGTAGAAAGGTATTTAAAATCAGATGGCTGCATGGATAACAGCTGCTCCCCAGACTCTGCGAATGTCAGGCACTGCCCACCGCTATCGAAATCAAGTGGTGTTTGTTCTCTTAACTACAGAGAAGAAATAACATTTGCCCAACAGTGAAGAACAGTTACTATGTCTTTGGAGTCTCGAGCATTTATCAGCATGCTTGGAAATCATATAAACCTTATCTCCTTGTTTGTGTTTTTGAAAAACAGATAACTGCCCTCTGAAGACACTGCTATCTTTACTGGGCAGATGAAGTGGGCTTGGTGCCTGTTCTTCTTCAGGCACTCACATTCCTGC